CATTTATTCTCGAAAATCTCCGTTTAATGTTTTTACTGTCTATATTTTTTTTACTATCTATAGTAAGTAAAGTTTTATAAACATGACAAAGCAACGGGTTTCAAAATCGATAATTTTATCAAAGAGATTACATGTTCTAGTAAGTCTTAAATTTTGTTACAAAGGTTACAAAATTATGTTTAATTATTTTTCAATAATTCAAGGAAATATGTATCTATATTATCAATTACTTGAGATCAATTTTTAATTGCTAGTTTAAAATATTGTATTTAATCGTAGAAGCATTCTAACAATATTTATAAAAATACCAATATTATTAAAAACATTAATAGATTAAGTATAAACATATAATCATCCTATACAATGAATTTTAACGTGCAAATTGCTTTTTATAATATAACTCTGTTAATTATTTTTATATTAATTTATGTTGATTGGCATAAAATATAATATTCATAATGTTGTAATGTAATTTCGATATAGATAGGATGCATATTGTTTATATATGGTATGGATTTTATTTCAAATAAGAAGATAAAATTATTTGCAAAACGAATAAAATTGATTAAAACACAGTACTAAAGAGTTAGTAAGCAGTAATTTTAAAAAAAGTGACTAATTACAAAATTTTTAATAAGATGTCAGAAGTTATTGCAACATATAAATTGCAATATCTAAAATCAAGAAGAGTTTATTGAAAAAAACCTCATATGTATTCGAATCGGATGATTTCTGATTTCTTATTTATGGAATTCCTTTTATATTATACCAATTTTTTATTTTATTTTTGTTATTAAGACATATCAATACATTGTAACAATTATTTTGTAACATTACGAACTTAAAAATTACAGAGATTCGATATATTACATTTATTATTATATATTATCATTCCAATTATTTGTGCGATTATTTTTATGTTCAAATATATGTATTATATAATAAATTGTAATATATCATTATAATATTTAATATAAATTCGAAAAAAATGTATTTTATTAAGTTATAAAATATACTTGATTCACTCTTTGTAACGAACGCACTGTTTGTTCAGATTTTTAATCATAATTGTGGCGCCGAGAAGATCATTTATTCAATTCGCGAGATATATATATATATATATATATATATATATATATATATATATATATAATCCCGTGTATCAAAAAATGATATAATTTCCACCGTCTTGCATTTACACTCACGTCGTTGACAAATATTGAATTAATAACGGTTAATTCAACTGGAATATGTCCTTGATAGATTTTATACAAATTAATTAACGCTTACCGTTAATTAGTCTGACGATTTCTATCCTAGCAAATTTACAAAGATTGAAATATTTCTCTTTCAAATTTGCGAGGTAATAATTCTTTTTTGCCGAGTGTGCATAATCGAAGTTTACGAAGTCCATTAAGCGAATGTCGCTGTGTGTCGATGAAACTTGCATCATACCTCAGCGTGTTTTCAACTTTCGTTATCTAATCGAATCCACTCGATTACTGAATCTGATCGTTTTGTATTCAATCAGTATAACTTTTACTCTGCATTCGCGCAGATCTCCAGCTTCTGGTAATTTCGGAATTAAATTTTCATATTCGCTTGTTATATTCAATATGGAGGAATCAATTATAAGTACAGTGGAGAATGATAGTATGTTACCGGATGACGTGCAAGAAAAATTAGCAAAAGTGATCGAAAGATATCAACAGTTAAGCGATGAGGAAAAAGAGCAGTTCCAACAAGGCGCATTTGATGTATTAACGAAGGCTTTGCATAAATTACCCGCGAACACAATTCTGCCCACGTGGCTCGCACCATACCAGTCTTACATTCCATTCATTTTCGCGGTATCAATGGTGATATTTTTACTTGGTATGATATTTCTTTTATTATTTATATATGAAATTCATAAGAATATATTTAAACTTACATATAATAATAATAATATAATTAAAAATATTTTATTTTAAATAATAATGCACCAATAATAGCAAAATTGCAAACAATTGATTGCATAATTATACAGATTTTATATATATATATATATATATATATATATATTGGATAGTTTGGTATGATATATCTGATGTCTTTTAAACTATTAGTAAAAGTTTACTCCTGATGATACGTTAAACTATTTTCACTCACTCTCTTTCTTCCTCTCTCTCTAAGTTTTATTTATTATAATAATTTAATCATAATTTTTTCTTTACAGTTATTATCGCTCGCAGATTGTATAAGCGTATGTGGGAGCGAGAACAGCGTCAAGAAGAAAAAAGAAAGCTTAGACAACAGAAAGCAGAAATGAAGAAGAAGAAAAAGAAAATGTAATACGCGATAATTTATTGTATATATTTTAATGAAAAACAACTCATTAATAAATAAGCAAACAAATTCTTATAATAAATTCGTAACATATGTTTTACAATTTATGAGCTCCTTTCGACAACGAATTAATAGTTAATTAAAAAAACAGAAATAATAAAAATATAAATATAAAATATTGGCATCAAAAATATTTATTGTGCCATATCATTGACTTAAACATTTGTATGAGGTATACAACAAAATTAACATTACTCGACATATACATTTTCGCACTCAAAAATATCAACATATTTTCCAACCATTAAACTATAGAAAAAAATAAACTGTATTATCAAATAATAACATATGTTTATAGTTATTTATAATTACGGTATAATATTCATAATTGATAATACGCAATGAAATATCGCAATGAGCATTTCAAACTACAAGTACAATTCTTCTAATATAATAAAAATTATACTTGTTAGATAATTAACAATTAATTAATGTACTTTTTTGTCACATCATAAAGCGTATTATTATTCTATACCCCTTATATGGAAACACACAACCACATTTCTCAATAAAATCTTAATGTATTATTTAACAAATTATCTTTAATGGCTATTTTATAATAAGCTGCATTAATGTTTGTATAAAATTAGAATTATAATATATACTATTCTAATTCTAAGTTTAAATTTTATATTTTATAAAATTGCAAAACTGCAAAATCTCAAAAATATTAAAAATACTATTTTTTTCTACATTATTATGTGTGCATATGAAAAATGAGAAAATATTTTTTCTGTACATACACATATATACTGTATACTTATTTTATTTTTCAAATATTTATTAAATAAATATATCTATATTGGCACATTATTTATAAAGGCACTAGTCTTTTCATAAAAACTAAAGCATTTTAATATCAATCTTATAATAATTAATTTTATATTAATTCTTTAGCTAAATAATAGTAATATTATTTCATATTAATTTCAATAACAATATTAACATGTTAAAGTTTATAAAAGCAGAAGATCAATACCTATTTTAAAACAAGAATTATTAAATCAACAAAAAATCGCGATAACAATAATATACAACATTAAAATTAATTTTAATTTTACTTTTAGTGGCACATATGAAAAACTAATCATTTTCATCACTTCATATTGAGAAAAAATACATAAATTGTACTTTTTTTTTAATTGTGCTTTTTATACTTCCTTTCCTTGCTCAATCTTTGTTGGATATATAATTAAATATTTTTTGAAATTCATTTGTTCTTAAAGTCTATAAAATTGCAATAAAAATCTTGCAGGTGTCCAATACCTTTGCATTCGTCCAAAAAAAGATTTGCTTTTATAATTATTACAAACTCAAAATAATATAATCTCAGAATATTCAGATGGCACGATTATGTGAATGTACATCTTATATTTTTATATATATTTTTCATTGTTGTGTTAAGATATCACATTTTTAAGCACATATAAATATACGCGCAACAATAGATGGAATAATATACAAAATATGTACTCTTTGAAAAAGTTACAAAATTGGCATCTGATAATATTCTTATTAGATATAATTTTAAGTAAAGAATCGCCAGATATTATCAATCATGTTGACTGATCGTGAGTATAAATTCGATTTGCATGTATTCGTTTATATTTGTTACTTGAAAATTGAATATTGGATACTTAGAAAGTTTGAGTATTTGCCTATTAGCTATATATAATACAATGGCAATAAAACAATATAATTCATTAATACAAAAATGCATTTATACTTAAAGAAAAATATTGCACTTGTATATATGCAATAATTATTGCATATATATGATATGATATTAAAGTAGATAATTAATAGATGTAGTTGTAATAATATTATATATAAGTTAATATTGCAAGTTAATACAAATTTATATGTATTTCAATACATAATCTGCAAAAATAATTTTCCAAATACAAAATAATTTTTATATTTGTATATAAATTTTACTTTTGCATTTCGGTTATATATATTATAAGTATAT